CCCTAACCCCCAGCAGTACCCCTTACACATATAGCACACACACACAGCACCCCCCACCTCAATGCAGTATGTGTATATTCAGCAGTCTGTGTGTGTGTGTATTCAGCAGTCTGTCTGTGTTTGCATGTATTCAGCTGTCTGTGTTTGCGTGTATTCAGCTGTCTGTGTTTGCGTGCATTCAGCTGTCTGTGTTTGCGTGTACTCAGCAGTCTGTGTGTGTACTCAGCAGTCTGTGTGTGTGTACTCAGCAGTCTGTGTGTGTGTACTCAGCAGTCTGTGTGTGTGTGTGTGTACTCAGCAGTCTGTCTGTATGTGTATTCATCAGTCTCTGTATTCAGCAGTCTTGTGTGTGTGTATTCAGCAGACTGTGTGTATGTATTCAGCAGTCTGTCTGTGTATGTATTGCATTTGTTGGAGATACTAATAAATATAAGCTTAATTTTATCTATTTATATCATTATTTAAAATTTGTATCATTGAACTCTGTGTTCTTTTAAAACAAAAGTTATTAGTTCGGACAACAGTACGAGTTGTTTTTATCTAAACTTAAACCTCAGTATTTGGGTTTAATTGCCGTGTTGGCACTTTAAGGAGAAAAAATGTTGGCATGTATTGCGGTTTGGGCACTCGGGCTCAAAAAGGTTCGCCATCACTGGTCTATACCTTATGCAGTAGAAAAAAAAAAATAACCAAGTTTCAGTTTACATTTAGGTGCCTTGGTGCTTGCAAATATATAAAAACATATCTTAGCATACATCAATGTAGTTTAAAATAAAACCATCTGTCACAAAACTTACTTAGTAACACAATATATATATATATATATATATATATATAATTTATATTGACTGATATGATATTCTCACTTGCTTTAGACTAATTTAGACTAATTTCTAAAATACCGCAGGTGCAACATAAAATAATGCTTCCTTTTATTTTTTTAATGCGGTCAAACACAAAAGAGGATAAAAGGTAGGGCTCTAATCCCTCTGTTAAAAGCAACCATGTGTGTTTCATTTAAAATAAAGCAACATGTCATATTTTAATGTGTTTTTTTTTTTTTTTTAATCTAGATCTCATTTCTAACCCTGCTATATCCATTCCATTGATACTCAGTCATACTATTTGGACTTTGTAATTGTTCGGGCATATTATTTTATACCAGGTGCTGTTTAGTGCCTTCCACTTATAGACAAGGACAAAGATTTAGCAGTTCAACCTACCATTTTTTTTATATAGTAAAAATTATATTGTAAAAGTCAATAAATTTAGGGTTTGGTGCATTTACTCCAAACTGCTAACTCATTTGTGAAACACAAAGACGTTGACAAAACTCTGTTCAGTTTATCAAATGCTTAAGCAGTTTG